AGTGACAGCAGTCAGTCAAGGGAGAAGGGGTCAGGGGTCAGGCCCAGGGCTCTGTGAAGTGACAGCGGTCAGTCAAGGGAGAAGGGGTCAGGGGTCGGGCCCAGGGCTCAGTGAAGTGACAGGGGTCAGTCAGGGGAGAAGGGGTCAGGGGTCAGGCCCAGGGCTCAGTGAAGTGACAGCGGTCAGTCAAGGGAGAAGGGGTCAGGGGTAGGGCTCAGTGACAGCGGTCACACAGGGGAGAAATGGACAGGGGTCAGGGGTCAGGGGTATGGCCCAGGCCTCAGTGACAGCTGTCAGTCAAGGGAGAAGGGGTCAGGGGTCAGGCCCAGGGCTCACTGAAGTGACAGTGGTCAGTCAGGGGAGAAGGGGTCAGTGGTCAGGGGTAGGGCCCAGGGCTCAGTGACAGCGGTCAGTCAAGGGAGAAGGGGTCAGTGGTCAGGGGTAGGGCCCAGGGCTCAGTGACAGCGGTCAGTCAGAGAGCAGTGCCTTCTTGACAGCCTCCGGCACACGGCTGGTGTAGTACTCGTGGTTCCGCAGGGTGGCCAGCACCCCTGTAGAATTCATGTGCTTCACGTGGCGGTCGTACCGATACGCTTTGCCATGGATATCGGTCAGCTTCCCTACAGAGGGAGAGAGAGGGGTCAGCACTGAGCTGAGGGCCGAGGGCCAGGGAGACGCAAACAGCAGACGTGTCTCACCCCCCACGGCGTGCAGGATGGCCTCAGGGGCGCAGGTGTCCCACTTCTTACATCCCGGACTGGCAAACACATAGGCAGAGGCCTTGCCCTCCACCAGCTGGATAATCTGCAGAGAGGCAGGGAGAAGAGGCTTCTACACACAGGCACCAGACTCAGAGAGGTCAGGGCGAGGGAGGGGCTCAGAGAGGGTCGTGACTCCTCCCACAGTGGAAATAGAGCTCCGCCCCCGGCACCTCACCTTGTTTCCTGCCCCGCCCACTCTGATCACATCATGCGGCTGCATGGCTTGGACACACTCCGTCACCAGCTTGTTGCTATGGGAACGGGTCGTTGTGATGATGCGCTGCCCTCCCGGCACCTCCTGCAGCTGGAAACCGAAAGAGCCCAATCCCAGCATGCCCCACAGTGTCCGCCCGAGCGCAGCTCCTGGGCCCAGCTACAGGGAGAAGGAAGGGCACGGGGATCAGGGTGGGGAAGAGACAGGAGAT